ACTCAGTAGAGGAAGATTGAACTAAACTCAACTAATACCACAAGCTCAATGGAGTCCACCACAAGAATCACTGGAGATAACTGATAACATAATACAGATTCACCAATCATCTACGAATAAGATCATCATCCTCATTTCTAAAAAGGACTGCAATGGGGTTTGAGAAGGTCCCATTACTGATTCTTTGCTTTTGCCCATCTGAAAAACTGAGAGGACACAGGAGTTGGGCAGATAGAGATGAAATATATCTTTATTATTGATAAAGCTATTGAAGAATATGGGTTAGGTATGGGGGCCAAATGGGCTTATGAGTAATTTTTGCCCTCTCCTCTCCAGTCTAGACTTCAAGACAGCATGCTCAAAGGAAAGTCTGGCTAGGATAATTGCCTTACTGGTCTGGGCAGAGAGTGGTGGAGAAGAGACTGATTCCCACTGCTCTTAGCTTACTGATTAGCTCTTTCCAATCAAGCAAAACAGACCAAAGGCAATTACCCTCCAACAACGTAACTCACGGCTCCATGGACAGGTGTAAGAGATGGATCAAGTGATCAGCAGTGTTTCTTTAGGGAAGTCCTTCCCCCTGGATGGGGCAAGGATCAGTGGGCAATAATCGTTCCTCCTCTAAATGGGCTGCTAGTCTGTACATTTGACAACAAAGATTGAAAGAGCTTAAAAGGCTTATTAAATTTAATTAAAAAATTACAATCCAAATATTTCATAAGCATATGTTACTTAATAATAGCTTTTCTTCAGTTAACCAAGTTTCAGCATTCATCTGACTGTAAGGATGAAGTTATTAAAGACATTAGAAAGAGAATGAAGCACATTTCTAGCTACATGAATTGGAGTATGTATTGGACCGGCACCATGAAGACAAACTCTGACTTCATCATAAAGTAAATACTGAAAAATGTAAGATAATTTAACTTATCATGATTGCAATTCACAGTTTTTAAACAAATATGAAGTGTTTGTTGTGGGCTAGAATACTATGAAAAGTATAAGAAAAGTCATGGCCCTAAAAGACAGCTAAAAAAAAATACAGAATTTCCATTAACCCCACAAGAAATATAGGTGTCCAAGAAGCAGGAGCTGTTAGACAAAATATAAACATTGTGCAGGGACCTAGAATTTAAGTTACTAATAAAAGATCGTTCAATAGCACTTTTTTCCTACACTCCTCTCATCTTTCCCCATCTCCTCTGAAAAAATGCAATATCCAAATTGGAATTTCCTGAGAACAATAAAGTAATTCTAAAAATAGGATGAATCACTAATACCTCATCTATATACACCCTTCTCCTAAAGACTTCTGGAACCCCTTCCTAGACTTCTAGAACCAACTGGAAATCTAAGAATACATGTAAAGAGATTCCTTTCCTGCATGAGGGCTGTAAAAAACCATACACAAATGTAACCCGTTGGGTAAAAACTGTCAAATGTCTACTCCGTCAACCCTTAATCTCTATAATTGGAATACAAGATGACTTTTAGAACTTGGATCAAGACACCCCCTGGCCTTATGACCTTGGGCAAGTTAGTTGCCTCATTTTTAGAATAGGTGGTATTTTATTTATTTTCTTCATAGACACATAGTAGACACTTAAATATTTTATGAGTAAAACAATATAAACATTGTAACTTAAACTAAACTGTAATTCCCCTAATGAGTAGATGTTTGACAGGTGACTGGTGGATAAGGAGATAAAGAAGATGCCACCATCAGTTACTACGATCCTGGCTTCTAGTTTAGGATATGGGTATCTCAAAAGAATCTTCTATATTAATTGTCTCCAATTCTTCCCCTTCATTCTCTCCTGAACCCAATCTAACCAGACTACTGATCTTACCACTTCACTGAAACAGCTCTTATTAAGGTAGCCAGTGACCTCCACACTGTGAAATCCAAAGTCAATTCTCAGAACTCATCTTATGTGAATTATCATCATTTAACCCAGCTGATCACTTTCTCCTCTTTGAAATGCTTTCTTCACTTGGCTTGAAAGAGAGAGCCTTTTCTTGGTTTGCCCCTTACTTCACCAGCTGTTCCTTCTCCATCACCTTTGCTGGTTACACTTTGGGTAGCCTACCTACTTTATTGCGGTTCCTACTCATACCTGGCTAGTCACCAAGAGATTATTTGGCTCTGGCTTGAAAATTACACATTAAAGACCTCAGGTTGTATTTGTCTCTACCAAATTTCTGGTCCCCTGAAAGTCTTCTAAGAAAGTTAAGATACAATGTAAAGAATTTGTTCCCATTGGTTTCTCTGCTTAGAATAAAATTCCTTCTGGCATTCTTTTCAACTTCAACATGGCTGGACAGAGAAAGACAGATTAAAACAATTTTCTGGATCCTTCTTTTCAAATTCTACCTTGATGAAGAATCTTCTCGATTATCTATGCCTCTTTATTTTCTCAATTTTGCCCATATAGTCAAAATGCTCTGGTTATTTATACTGCCTAATTAACTCTGCAAATTAAGTTGCATGAAATTATAAATGAAAATTCTATGAGAGTTCACAAGCAAAGCTAGATTACATAATCTAAATTTTAAACTACTGCTACTAGGTTTCTTGACTCTCTTAAGAGGGCTTAATTTCCCATGAATAACTAGAAAGTATCTTCAAGATCTTTGGTTATGTATAAGACTCCCTCTAGCTACAAAATTTAATCCATGATGATAAATTCTAAACAATATTCCCAATATTAAAGTCATTCTTAAAAGTCTTCAGAGGTATAGTTTCACTAATTATTTTTACAAATATTGCATCATCATGTACTTTGAAAACAAAGTTTATTCTTCTCTATGAGCAGGAAGTGGCACCAGGTGACAGATCATAATCATAGTCACTACAAAATTGTGTGCGCATATGTATCTGAAGTGTGAAATGCTTACATTTTATAACTCTTACAAAAATAAAAACTGTTAAACTCATGGTACCATAGCAACCTAGCAATTCTGTATTCAATAATGGAATGAAAATGCCATGTTTGAAAATTAAATTTCAGTTCAATAGTTCACCCAAATTTATGATAACCTATGGGGGGAAAATGAGCATTTCATATTTAGTCATGTGAAGTGTGCCTGGAATGGCAACTATTGATAAATGTTCATTTTTTTTAACCCAATAACTATTCAAAGCATTGTATGAAGGGCTCAATCAGATCGTGTGAAATTCTAAGTCTTTCACCCTATAATCCTGAATTCAGTGAAATGTCATCTTGGCACTAGGTTTCAGGTAGAGACAGAATATCTACCCTAACATAATAACCCTCAACGATAGAAATAAAAAGCAACAATCTAATTTTATAATTTAATGTCTCGAACTAAAAAAAGGGGGGGGGAAACGAAAGGGAAAGAAAAGAAAAAGAAAAGACGACCCTGCGCTACTGGTTGGGCCTCTTCCAATAGCACCGCGAGTACCTCTACTGCCCAAAAAACTTAACAGCTCCTCCTATAAGTTCCAGGACCAAACTGGTAGAAGCTTCAAATTTCTCCAGATTTCTTAAACTTGGATACAAACCCCTATCTAACAGGCTAAACAGATTACAAAGTACAATGTAAGAAAAACTTCTACAACACAGACGTTGGATAATGCATTCCTATCTTCCCAGAAAGAAAGGAAGCAGCTGGGATCCGAATAAGTCTAAGTGGGAAGATGACAATTTAGGGTGAGACATGGCTGCTCTTTCTCACATTCTGGGGGGCAGGAAAGCAAAGCATAGGTGTAAAAAAAAAAACAAACTCTCTTCTTCCTCCAGCACAGCTGGGGGGCGGGGAGGATCGTCCCCAGAATGCCAGAGCATAGAGAAGGTAGAACCACCCTATACTGGTGGCCCC